CATGGCAATGTTGGGCTGAGTCCTGACCCCAAGCCTGAGCCTGAGCCTGAGCCCAGCCCAAGTTGCCAAGCTTAGGATAAGTTCACACTAGCAGAGACTGCCCACTGACTCAAGCCTGGCCTTGAGCCCACTGCCAGGCCAGGCTCAGGTCAGGCTTTTTTGGGCTGGGCTTGCAAGCTTTGAGCCAAGGCTGCACATTACTATATTCAGCAAAGAAAAAAATGCTCTGCTCACACGGCTGGATTCTAAATAGAGAAGAAGGGTATCATGCACCACTTTCATCATTCTCAGCATTTTTGTATAAAACCTCCATATCCTTGAGAGCCTTGTTATCTCTACACTCAGGCTCCATCTTCCCATGGTCATGGCTTTAGCTGATTATGTGCAGTAACCGCATCCAAACTTGAATAAATCATAAAAAGAGTTTTAAAAAATGTATTAATCTGTGCTTAAGCTGGCTGTGTACTTGGACAAGCCTACAAGGGCATGGTTGCAGTTCAGAAATTACTAAGATATACATGTACCAGTAGCCAAGCTGCTTTCTGGGTGCTGCATTTTTGTTACTTTATATTGGTCTGTGACTGGTCCTGACCGGTCATGACCAGTCCTAAAAGCACCCAGCGCCATCTAGGACCAAGGACTGTGACCAAGACTGGACTGACGTAGGACTGGACCATACCCAGTCCTGATCAGTCCAGTCTCAGTCCAAGTCCCGGTCCCGACCGGTCCTTAGGACCGGACCCTCAACCACTAGTGCGAGGTAGCTCCCAATATATTGGAATATTCATTGAATTAATGCGAGCAGTATTGCAAAGGACACCCAGACTAGTACTGGCGCTTGCCGGTAATGCCTTGCCAGCCCTTGCCAACCTATGCATGCTAAAGGATCCCAGACTGGTATGTTTGATAGGACAAGGAGGTGCTATATCTACATTGATATACTTGTTCCCAGGATGGTTACCTTTGTAAGTGAGGTTGTGTTCTGTCACTCTTCGCCTCCGCTCTGCCTCCTTCTCTCGTTGCCCCTCGTTTCGACTTTCACCCTCCAGCTCATTCATCTCCGTCATCCACCCGTCTGATCATATCCGCAAGCTCTGCCTACCCCTGTGCCTCCTCGTCAACTGGAAGCTCCAGCTCCGCCAGCACAGTATCACGCAGCGCCTTCTCCTCGTTCTGCGCATGCGCTATGGCCAGCCCAACGATTTCCTCGTCCATCTCTGCCCTGGCCCGACGCGCGGTGGCATCTCGTACCGCCTGGACTGCAGAGGACTCTGCGGAGATGGCCCTTGACATCTTAACGAGCGTTTCCTGCTGATGCTCCCTCGCCACCACCAAGGCCATCTCAGCCGCAAGCACGGCAGCTCTCGCGCTTGACAGCTCCTCCACGGCACTTTGCACATCAGATGCGGCCGAAGCCAGAGAGGTATTGGCTGTGAGTTCCTCGTGCGTGGCAGCCGCAGTCTCGGCGTACGCAGCGTACCCCTTGGCTTCCGCTTCCTCGCGCATACGGGTTGCATTCTTGAGCTTCTCCTGCAGCTCTACTCTGGATTTGAACGTCTCCTCAGGCCTGGGCGATTCTACCGGGACCGCCTCCGCTCGTTGATTCCTGTTCGCCTCCTGCGTAGCTTCGTTCGTGGAAGACGCCTCCCCAGCATCGCGTACTGCCTCTGTCCGCCTCCCCTCTGCCTCCTCCCTCTCTCGTTGCTCCCCCATCTGCCTCTCCCGTAGACCATTCTTTAGCGCTTCGTTCACTTTCCTCATCCGTCTGAGCATCCCCGTCAGCTCTGCCTGGCTCCGCACCTCCACGTCGAGCACAAGCACGGCAATACGCAGCATGGTTTCTTCGCTTTGTGCATTCTCCTTTTCCTCCAGAGCATGTTCCGCCGCCGCCGCCGCCGCGATACGACTGGCAGTGGCACTTCGCACTGCCCGGTCTGCAGTGAGCTTCGCGACGAATGCTTCCTCCCTCCGTTTGACCGCCTCACCCTCACGCTCGCTCATCGCCCCCGGAGACCTCTCGGTCCTGCCAGTGAGCGCAGCCGTGAATATGGCAGTCGCTGCATCGGTCTCCTCTTTCTTGGCTTTCTGCTCATCGGATACAGCTACTGCCAGGGAGGCCCTAGCTGAGCGTTCCTTGCACATCGCAGCCACAACCTTTGCGTGCGCCGCGTCTTCCTCGGCCTCTGCTTGCTCGCGCATGCGAGTCGCATCCTTGAGCCTCTCCCGTAACTCGACGCTGGGGTTGAGTATCTCCCCCCGGAGAGACGCCTCTGGGGCTGTATTTGCTAGTGCCGGCCTAGCTGGCTCGTGCTCGGTTTCGGCCATGGATGACGCCACTGTCTTCGGCTTCTACAAATTTCGAGTTAGAATCATTTAGGACGAAGTACGAACTTAGTCTCAAAGAAGGACGTACAAGCTGCGTGTCGGCAATACTAACTTTGCCCGGATTCGGCGCCAGTCGGAAATCGGCCTGATTTTCAGGCTGGAAGTATTGAACGTAGATGTTTGAGTTTCCAATGCCTACGACTTTTGCAATAGCAGTGGCAGCTAAGCAGCAAGTCTGAGTTAGCTATACATCCCACTATTGCCGGTTAGGACAGCATAATACGTACCTGCCACTCTGCTAGCATAGGAAATATGATATTCACCCCGAAGGCCATCTTTGAGTAATGTCACGCTGCAGACTTGAGATGAGCGTAACAAATTCAGTGGATAAACGTACATACCTGTTCATTTTTCCAAGCTTTCTCACGACATGTCAGAGCCTGACAGATGCATCCCCATGACGATAGAATAACTACCTTTTCAAATGTACTTTGAACATCAGCTTCATCGAATGTAGACTCGCGTTTCTGCGTGGCTGTTGAGTTCAAACCGATATAGCCACTGAACGACCAACTCACGTCAAAACTAAACACCACGCTGTATGGCGAAAATGTTCGCAGTTTGAACGGACGCCGCATGTCTTCCCGGGCAGGTTGAAGCTGATAGCAGTGTGTACGGGCGTACTCTGCATCTTCTGCGCTCCAGTACTCAAGTACGCCGGTTTTTATATGGAATCCCACATCAACGACAGTGTGGACAAACACCAGCGGTCCAGCAGGGCGGAAATAGCGGAAGAGTTGCTGGGCGCTCGCCTTGTGCAGACCGCCGAGCGCCGAGGAGAAGGAGGAGGAGTCGAGGAACTGTGCGCACATGGGCGTTTCAGGCAGCACGCCGTCCAGAGACACAGTGTGCGACAGCGTCAAGATCCAGGGGTCTTCTCCTGGGATGAACGTGCCTTGCAGAGTGGCAAGGGCCATCTCAGCTATCGGTAATGGATACATCAGAATCGTGCTCTGGTGCGATCACATGTGTGCGCACCATTGAAGATATTTGAGAAACGAATCATCCATGTTCTCCTTTGGTTTGAAGATACGTGTCGCGTGATCCAGGACACGTCCCCGCATGCTTTAAAGCGCTTTCCAGCTGAGGCCACCCGATCCTATCCGGCACGTCGATAGCATGAAGTATCGGCTCAGTGATGAGCGGATGCGGCCTGTTTCGCGGCAATTGGGTCGACATAGCTCGCGGTTGAGATGCGAAGGATTGGCAAGAGGAAAAGGTCCATTTCAACGCGTAGCACCGCCTTGTAAGCTTGATTGATGGCGGAGATCTACTGCGAGGCCTGTCTAGTTGAACTGTAATTAAATTATGATACGAGCAGGCAGCGTACCACGGATGTCCTGAAGATAAGCACTAAGTACGAATTTTCAAAATCCACAACCCGATCAAGACTTATATTTACACGTGCGATTCATCCTATGCGGGCACTTCGCCGCGAGGGAGGGGTATAGTTTCATACACAGCGAGTCTACCGCGCTGACTTCGATGCAAGCCAAATCGGAGTGATCGCTTGTGCGACAATATTTCCCGCCTCCTCCAAATGCTTACGGAGGCCCTCGTCGAGGACAGTGTTCAGGAGGCCCCGAGCTCTCCACCTATCTGGATGGAATCGCCGATGTGTCTTCTCCAGCACCATCCTGTACTGCTGTTCGCCGAGGGCAATCTTCGCAACCGCAAAGAACGTCTCGACAGCAGCCCACTCGATGCCCACGAAGGTTCGCTTCTCTGGTAGACAGAGCAGGGGCCACGGAATAGACTCGAAGGTAAGTGGCTGAGAGGCGCAAAACTTGATCTCATCGAATTCGGTACTGACTGCGTCGAACCAGGTGCTGATTGCATCGAAGCCCCTCGCGTGCCCGGGGCCGAGCCACGATATGATCCAAGACGACAACAGTGCGTCGCGCTGAGCACAACGGTCGCGTTCCTTCGCAGCAGCATCTTGATACTCCTGCAAACGTCGGGCCTCGGCCTGTCGCCGCTCTTGCTCCTCACGTGCCTTGCGCGCTTCCTCCTCGCGTGCCTTACGTTCCCGTTCCTCTCGAGCTGCGCGTTTTGCCTCTCTGCGCCTCCTCTGCGCCTCCTCCTTCTCTCGCTGCTCTCTCATCTGCCTCTCCTGTCGACATCTCTCTTCCAGTTCATTCATCTCCCTCATTCGTTTGATCATCTCTGCCAGCTCTACCTGCCTCTGCGCTTCCTCATCACGCGTCACAAAATCGCGCAGCACTTTCTCCTCGCTCTGCGCCTTCTCCCTCGCCAACCGAGCGCATTCTTCGTCCCCCTCCGCTGCGGTGCGATGGGCGGTGGCGTCTCGCACCGCCTTGTCTGCGTCGGACTCCGCGGAGCTGGTTTTCAACGTCCAGTTGAGCGCCTCCTGCCGACGTTCCTTCGCCGCGTGCAGGGCCCTCTCAGCCTCTAATACAGCGGCCTCCGCGTTCGACAGCTCCTCCCTGGCATTCTGCATGTCGCATGTAGCCGCCGTCAAGGAGGCCTTGGCCGTGTGCTCCTTGCACGTGGCAGCTACAACCCTTGCGTGTGCCGCGTTTTCTTCGGCCTCTGCCTGCTCGCGCACGCGTGTCGCGTTTCCGAGCCTCTCGCGCACGTCCGCCCTGGCTTTGGACGTCTCTTCCTCCTGGTGTGACTCTAGAGTCAGGAGTGCCTGTTTCTGCTCGCTAGGCTCCTGCGTGGCCTCGGCCATGAGCGCTCCCTTTGGTTTCTAAGAGGTGCAAGGTCATTTGGTTGAAGACCACACTCAGCTTCGAAGGAATGGACGTACGAGGTGCACATCGTCAATGGTGATCGTGATTGGGTCCCACATTCGAAAATCTGCCTGATTTCCAGGCTCAAGATATCGAACATGGACGGTCGAGCTTTTCAAGACTGCGCCGTTAACCTCTGCGATGGCAGTGGCAGCTAAATAAGGGTTCTGATTCACTGCGTGATGCTAATTGGAATAAGACAGCACGTACCCGCCGCCCTGCTGGCGAAGGAAATGTGAAGGTGGCAGTGAAAGCTGCCTGCTTTGAGTAGTCGCGTGCTGCAGACCTTGAGGTGAGCGTAACTAGCGAGTAAGCAAGCGTAGAACACACACCTGGTCATTCCTCCAAACTACCATCTAATCCGTCAAACGGGTGCATTCTCGTGATGATAGGCTGCTTACCTTCCCAAAGATGCTTTGTACATCTCTCTTTTTGAATAAAATACCCAGATTCTGAACGGCTATTGAGTACAAACCGAAGCGACACGAGATTTACTCACAGTACACATCACACTGTACGGGGAAAACGTGCGCAGCGTGAACGGCTGCATGTCTCCCAGGGCGAGGTGTAGCTGCTGGCAGTGCGTACGGGCATGCTCCGCGTCCTCTGCAGTCCAGTATTCAAGCGCACAGGTCCGTTGCCCGTAGCCCACATCGACGCCGGTGTGGACAAATACCAGCGGTCCGGCAGGCCGGAAATAGCGAAAGAGCTGCTGGGCGCTCGCCGTGTGCAGGTCGTGGGTTTCCTTAGAGCCTCCCTTAACGAACTGCGCACATACAGGCGTTTCGGGCAACACGCAGTCCAGATACACAGTGTGCGACAGCGTCAGGATCCAAGGATCTGCTCCGGGCATGGGCGTTCCTTGCAGAGTGGCAAGGGCCATTTCAGCTATTGGAAACTAGGACATCAGAATCGCGCTTGGATTCGACCATATATGTGCGTACCATGAAAGATGCTCGAGAACCGAATCGTCCATGTCCTCCGCTGATTAGGGAATAGCCTAGGATGCTGCCTGACCCGCAGCATGTCCTCACATGTTTTCAAAGCACTTTCCAGTTCGGGCCATCCGACCTTGTTTGGCACGTTGATAGCATAAAGTATTGGCTCAGCAAGAAGTGGGTGTGGTCTATATCGCGGTGGTTGGGTCGACATAACTCGAGTTAAGATGTGAAAGAACAGAACGAGGAAAGAGTCACCTTGAATATAACATACCGCTCAGGCGTGCTTGATGGCGGAGATTTCTCGCGTGGCCTTCATATTCGAGTTGTACTTATATTAATGATACAGGCGGGCTACGTACCACAAATCTTTCAGGAAAATAAGCCCTAGTTACAAAATCTTCAGTGAATAACACAGCCTGACTAAAATTTACACATGCCACTCGTCCCATGCAAACACTTCGCCGCGGAGGTAAGAGCCCAGGTTACGCACACAGCGAGCCTACCGCGCTGACTTCGATGCAAGCCAAAGCGGAGTGATCGCCTGCGCAACAGTATTTCCTGCCTCCTCCAAACGTTTCCGGAGGGCTTCATCGAGGACAGTGTTCAGGAGGCCCCGAGATCTCCACCGGTCTGGGTGAAATCTCCGATGCGCCTTCTCCAGCGTCGCCTTGTGCTGCTCTTCGCCGAGGGCGACCTTTGTGGCTGCAAAAAACGCCTCAACAGCAGCCCACTCGACGCTGTCAAGGGTCTGCTTCTGTGGCGGAAGGAGCAAGGGCCATGGGACGGACTCGAAGGTAAGCGGCTGAGAAGCGCAAAACTTGATCTCGTCGAACTCGGTGCCGACCGCACTGAACCAGCTGACGTGCCGTGCGTTAGTCCACGAAGTGATCCAGGGTGTCCACCGCGCGTCACGCCGAGTGCAGCGGTCGCATTCCTTCGCAGCAGCGTCTCGATACTCCTGCAAACGTTGGGCCTCGGCCTGTCGCTGCTCTTGCTCCTCACGTGCCTTGCGCGCTTCCTCCTCGCGCGCCTTACGTTCCCGTTCCTCCCGAGCGGCACGTTCTGCCTAGTGCTCACCAATTAAGATTACATACGAAATTTGGGGATATGTTGTAAGGTTCGGCTTCGGTAGGCGCTTGACGAGTCGAGTAATCAGTGAGTCAGCGGCTACGTTGCAGGACCTCGGGGATGAGAATCTGAGCTTGCGAGAGGTTATCACACCAGAGAAAGAGTGGGGTAAGTCTTGATTCTCGAGAAACTACCGTACACCATTGTATCTACGCCTATATATACTAGAAGTCCTACCCTAAGTCATAATGAGGAGCCGAGACGGATCCGAAGAAAGTCAGGATGAGTCGAAGGGAGTCATGGGGAGTCAAAGGGTAAAAGGAATAGGAACAAAGGAGGGGATACGAAACACAAGACACACGAGGTGTTGAGAGCCCAGGCCGATGAGGCGGGCGGGCGCACTGATGGCATCAGGCGCCACCAAGCCTGTCGTCCTACAAGGGGAGGGTTAGTGCCCTAGCCCTTACATATGTATGCATTAGAATTGCGTACAGCGTACACGGACGCCG